AGGGTCCTGGCTGATGGAGCGGCCATTGTTTTCGACCTATTCTTGGCCATACGTGTTATTTATTTCATGAACAATATGTTAGATATTTGTGAGTGCGTTTATGTAACCTGATTAAATGATACTCACACCAACTGACCTCTAATCAAATGGCTGCAGCTGCTGCACCAAAATCATCACAGTTTCCTCCCTCCCATCATGTCTTTTTTTTTGTCTTTTTTTTTTCTTCACAGGTTTCAAGAGTTCTGTGTTGGCTGGTGGAGATGTTTGGAAGGTGGTTTTTTGAAAGGAATGAGTGCAGACGTTGCTTTTTGCTCTTCAGCTGCTCCCTCTTTATCCTCCCTCATGCCTCAGGGTGTGATTATGAGCTGGACGCACAGTCCTGCTCGGTTACTGTCTGTTGGAGCAGACACAAACAAAATCAATACTTCACTTTAATAATGTTGATGTTTTGGGAGGAAGCTGGAGTTGGCCCTCCAGAGAACGGCTGTCAGTGTTTATTAGGAGCTCTGATGGTTTGTAAATGTCTGGTTTACAGGATGTTTTACTTTTCTACTCATTACGTGGCACTGTTCCTCTAAAATATTTAAAAACCAGGTGTGACTGTACCCAAATGTGCTGAAAACACATTACTATATGATCCATTTGAAGTCCTAATCTTTAAAATCACTTGTGATGCAGTAACTTCATGTTTTTGTGTTTAGCTGCGACTATCCATGCGTCTCTGTGTCCCTGCATAAGGCTCTTCTCTTATTTTACCCTTTTGTCTCTCTCCATCTGTCCGTCCTTCCATGTTTCCATCACTGTTTGTGTGGGACATTTTGTTTTGTCAACAGAGGTTTGAAGGGTTCCGTAATGACAAGACGATGCCTCAGAGCCTGGAGCCATCGAGCAGCGGGGGGGCAGACGATGGACCCGTAAGTGCCAACCACCTCAGGTTGGTACAAAACACAGTTAACACCCTTGTTCCTAGTTGCTATTCTGAAGTTTTTTGCCTTTTTTTAATTCTTCTCAGAGTAAGTTGAGTCAACTAAATCACAGTTTTTTTGCTTTTCCAACAAAAAGCTATCAAAGAAGGGCTGATCACTGTGGGCTTATTGATCTAGTAGCTTTCTTTTGTCCAGTTGTCTAACAGCAGAAGCAGAAATATGTTAATTACTTCACTGTCCATCTGATTGTGAAACACCTAATACCATAGTGGAGACAACAGAGGTTTAATTCGCTTATCTGACAACTAACTGGTCTGTCTGTCCAAATCCTTACTAGATGTTATATAAAAATAACATAAGAAAGAAAATGTGTACCTATTTTACTTTCTGTTTTGGTGTTTCATCTTGGAAGGACATCAAACTGTGTTCATGTCGTTGTAACACAAAAAGCGTCATTTTCCGATTTAGACAGCCGAGTGTGGATGTAGTTTCTGGTCACTTTAGGGACTACCAGAACAAACTCAAGCTTGTTCCTGAAATCATTATTGGAGAACTTATTGCTTTCACCACAAATGGCACTTCAAGTTGAGTTCATCTGAGTACAACCGGACCAACACTTGAAACATTGAATCAACAAGTGTGCCAGTCAAATGAAGCACTGAAGTCTGTTAATGGCCTCTTGTGCTTATAGCATCAACTCTGAGACAATCCCATATGTGTAGCAAGTTATCAGCTATAAAGATACTCCTTTAAAAAGTCTCCACACTCCAGTTCTATTGTAAACTTCAAAATCCCTCACTCCTCACAGCGCAGGAGAGGAAGTATAAACACTCTTTCCCCCTTTTCCCCCTGATGCCTCCTTCTAGACTCCTTTTTATTTACCCTGCTTCCCTCAGTCTCTCTTCTTCTCCCTTGCTCTGTAATCTTTCTCTCTTGCTCCTCAAAATTCTGTTCCACCGTTGAGATACAAGTTTTCCTCTATCTCTTAGCACAACTGGTAATCTCTTGCTTGTGCTCCCCCCCCCCCTGCATCTGTCCCTCCCTCTCCTAGGAGTGCTAATACCTCCTCTCATTTTCCCCTCAGCCGAGAGCCAAGATCTGTCCATCACTCAGTCCGGCCCTCAGCTCCCGCTCTGGTATTTTCCCCTCAGCCTCGCAGCTAACATCTCTCTCTCTCTCTCTCTCTCTCTCTCTCTCTCTCTCTCTCTCTCTCTCTCTCTCTCCTCTCTCTCTCTCTCTCTCTCTCTCTCTCTCTCTCTCTCTCTCTCTCTCTCTCTCTCTCTCTCTCTCTCTCCTCTTTTTTCTATTTATGTGTTTCACCTCTAGCACGAGTGCTAAGATCCGTGCCATCGAGGCCAAGCTCCAGATGATGGACGAGAATCCGGAGGATGACTACTCGGGCCCGTCGGCCTACGTTTACAACAAACCGCCAGAGAGGAAACGCTGGGAGCCCTACTCTAAATCACACAACAACCAGAGCAGGCCCTTCCGCAGGTTTAGGAGATGACCCATCCCACTCATTCTGGAGATCCCCCCTCCCCCACTCCGTCGACACACTTCAGCCCCCATCTACACACAAACTGACTCCACACCAGATACTATAAAGACTATACACAGCCTATGAAAGGTTTTGAAAATACTTTGAGAACCAAGAACTCTTTGGGAGTAATCGCAGCAATCACGGACAAGTACCAAAAGTGTTTTCAGTTATTTTACAGTTATTATTTACTCTTAACATATGCCCCATACCTGACAGATGTGCAGGTGGGATCTTATACGTCTGCGTTCTCGCTTTGGCAGAGATTTGAATCAGCAGCTGTGAGTCATGTGACCCAGAGCTGCCAGAAAAGAAAAATGATATTATTATAAAAGAGTCTAAATGCTGATTCTCTTATTGGTTTTTGACATGTTTTTACTTTCGGAGAGATTATTTAAAGGTGAAATACAATTTTCTTTAATCAAGACTTCAATGAAGAGGAAGACATGCAAATATTTGTAACAGGTTTGTATCCTTGGAGTTTGAATAGTAAGCCACTCAGCAATGCTTACGGTGTGTTGCAGTATTTTGTGTGACATTGCTCTTTTCCTAATGGTTTGCTTTTTTTTTCAATTTTGTAAGACTGTATTCAAACTCTTTTTTACTGACTTTGTTTCTTTTCTGTAGATTTTTTTGGAAGTTCCCTTTAATATTCCTATTAAAGGCTAATAAATATAACATCTGCAGCCTGTTGTTTTATGCCATTTTAGTGTTTAGTCAATAACATTACAATGCTCTCGTCCACATGCTTTTGCTGGAATAGTCAAATTGTTTTTGTAAGAAATTTGGGAGGAAAACATCTGCATCTCATTAATGAGAACCTTTTGTGGACTACAATTTTAAACCATTAATCCAGCATGGTTTTAAAAAATGCAGTTCAGGACTATGACAGAAATAAAAAAAACATTGTAGAGATTATCACGAGTACTGACAAATGTACCAATACTTTCTGTAATAACTGATCATCCTGCTTAATATGGCGTTCATTATGCTTAGAGTCCCAGATTTCCCCAGACCTGATGGATACTGACTGTTTTGTTCATTTGCATTCTCTCAAATTGTGCCGTTTTAATATTTTGTATTTTCAAATGTAACGTTTGTTATGGATTTCTGTGTTTACATGGAGCAAACTTTTGTTGCGATCCAAGTTGTATTTTCCATCAGGTGTTAAAATGCCCCTTAAGGGGAAAAGAGGGTAAAGTGGACAAAAAATGTTGGCGAAATATAGCATAATTAAGTTTGTGAGAAGAAAGAATTTGCAAACCAAATTTGCAGAACCATTTTTAATAAGTTTAAGATGAAAACTTCTGTGGATAAATAACATTGCAAGAGGGATGGAAATCGGCCGATTAATTGTACAAGTTGAGAGAAGAGAGCATCATTTCATGCGCAGCGTACAAATCAAATCCTACCTCTTGACATGTCAGCCTTTTTTTTCCTCGTAAAATCAACCTGCAGCAATTTCTGATCAACCGTTTTCTTTGTATTGTGTGTTTTTATCTGTTTGCAATAAAAGGCCTATCAGTTCAATTATAATTTCAATTGATTACATCTTTCAAATCCAGTTCTCCCCAGAAATGATGAAGACGTTTCTTAATTGTTTTTGGCTTGGTTTATTTTGATGGGATCAAATGGGATATTTGCTGGATCCTTGTAGATAGCCTGATTGACGCGTCGATGTAAAGCTGTGTGTGGGCTGATCACACGGATCCTGCAATCACCAGGCTTCCCTTCGTTAAAACACTGGGTGAGTTTTAGTTTATTCTGCCTCAGCCCTACTCTCACAACATTAAAAAAATTAAAAAATGTGTTTCTTCCTGCCCATAATATATCCTTAAACAATGGTGTCACAATAAACCTATGGGTGAAAACCCTTTTTGTTAATCCTTAAATTAGGCCATTTAGTCCTTTCGTTTTTCTGCCTTGCTAATCATTGTCTACTACTCATTAACTTTAATGGTACACAATTTAAATATTTGAAATTAATGTTATAACGAAAACATATTTTTATTTTAAAAATTAAGCCTTGAATCATGATGATAATAAGCATTGAAGCAGTTCCATAAATACACCACTCTAATTAATTAAATAACAAATTATTTTGCAACATGTGATTTAAGTAAATGTATTAGGATTTTTTAAATGTATTTTTCAGGCATCATTATTATTTTTTGTGTTGTAGTTTAGATTCTAAGCCTGAATATATATGGAGACGCTGTGTATATAAAAAGGTCTGTATTCCGGTTAATTATTGCGTTACAACCTATACAGCCATTGTATATGTCCAGTAGCAAGTAAATGGCAATTATATGAATAACTATAATTTACATTTTTTCCTCTGGCAGCAGCTATAAATGTCTGAGATATCACACATTCGACAGCAGAGTTTGAGTAAGTTTCTGTCATAACTGCTCCAAAGTGTGTCCACCCTTCTCACGCATATGAAACTCTTTCTCACCCTCCCCCTTCTTTAACTATAAGGCAGGCCAGAGCGGCACAAACTTTCACTGCACTCTGGTTCTCTGCGCTGCCGTCGACTAGCAGCCCAGCAGCCTCCCTGCACCTATGAAGCCTTGGAGTAAAAGCTGCCAGCCCCTTCATTTCATTCACTTCCTGTAGCCAGACTCCTTCGATAAAGTGGAGAGAGTGGGACACGGGGAAAGGAACTATTTCTGTTCTAAATAAGGCTCTCCGAGGAGCACCAACAACTCCTCGCCTCTGCAAAGCTCCATAACTTCAGTGGTGTGTGACAGCGGCAGATCGTCACGCACAGACACAGAGCATTTCGCGTCAAAAACAAAACGGTGCGCCCATTACACCCGAACCCATGCATACGGATGGTTCAAGTTTTGACGCCCATCGCCGAGCCTTCTCCTGATTCCACGCGCCGAGTTTGGATACACTGTACGCTGTGAGACTGCAGGGGTTCATGTACTGGAAAAATGAACTTTTGTCCCCTCTTTCAGAGGGAAACAAGATTTTGTCCGAAGGAATTCCCAAGAAGCAGGTACTAACACTTAGGACACGACTGAGCTCCAACTTTGTGCGTAAAAGTTTCATTGATACCCCACTAATGCAGTGTGGGCCTTCTGTTTGGTTTAGACTAAATCAGCTTGTTATGTGCTGGCTTAAAAATAGCGATATTTGGTGTAACCTCAATATGAAACCATTTTGATTCACCAAACAATTTCTTCTTATTTTCTCATTGCTCAGTGGATCTATCTGTTGTTGCAAATGCATGCAGTTTATTTGCAGCCCGCAGCATTGTGCGTTAGTTTTGTTTTGTCTCTCTGTGATGTCATAAGAATCACTGCTTGTGTACTGAGATCAGCTGCACGCGCCAGCCGCTGTGAAGAGGCACGCGCCTCTCTGTTATGAATAGCGTGATTTGCGGTCCGCGAGCCTCTCGAGCGGTGCCAATTCGCCTGAGAAGAATTGGATTTTAATTACAGCCATTAAAAATCAAATTTGCAATTCTTTGGGTGACCCGTTGCCTTTCTCTGATTGACAGTTGAAATTGACACTCCGGGTCCCTCTTATCCACAGCGTTTCAAGCTATTTGTAATTACAGGTAGTTTTTTCCCCCTCCACTCTTCGTGTCCTGGATTGCGAAGAAAATACTATTATTCTGAGAGGCACGGGTTAAGGGCAGGGAAAAATCAATCCAAATTGAAATAGCTTCATTAAAATGTGCCTTTTGTTGCGGGGGCCCTTTTAACTATTTTAACCGGGGTTTATTGTCAGGACCACTTTATATAGGACTAGCCCTGAAGAGCTGTGTGCAAATGTCTCCCGAGGATTTCCCAGCTGAGGATGAGACCGTTAAAGTGATGAAGACTTCCCGTTTACTGAACGTTGTCTTATAGGTGATCTCCACCGAGCATCAGAGTACACCGGGAGCCTCGCGCTGCAGTGTGGACTCTAACCACGCGCCAATGGTGAGAGCTTTATTGCCTATTAATGCTTTTAAAATGTCACTTGGTGCGCTTATTGCACATTGGTGACACCTTGGTCTGGGTGCATCCGCTGCACGTTGAAGATAGGATTCATTATATTTTACATTTCTGATATAGCCTACGCGCATTGATTGATATCGACTGCATTTTGACTACTGCAATGTGGGGATGACTGTGTGTGTGTTACTGAGCTGTGCTGATGCCCTCTTGCAGTCTCACTCGGACGGAGAGTCCCAGCGGTCCAACATGGAGCCGGAGGACACCCACTCCCCACCCAGCAGCCCCTCCAGCCCTTCCGTGTGCTCGCCGATCTCCACCGCCAGCTCGGTGCCGTCAGACGGGAAGAACGTGTGCGCCAGCTGCGGTCAGGAGATCCTGGACAGATACATGCTGAAGGTGAGAGGCTGACCTTAAGTCTTTAGATTTAAACAGGCTGACGCGATGTGTGGTCACAACAATTAATATATTCTCGTGTTGTTTATTTGTTTAGCATTGTATTTTTTACGATGGCATTAGCAAACATTTGGTCGATACGTGTCCTGTTTTGTTTTGGAAAGGCCTGCTGTATTTTTGCACTGATAGGCCTACTGGAATTAACAGAAGGCCAGTAGGCTACAACATTAGGAGTCCTTACTTTATTATTTTAAGAAGAATAATTACACTAAATAAAAAGTAGGTACAGATAGGCTACATATATCCCAAACAAAAAACACAGAAACGTGTCCCCAATATAGCCTTATTTATGGCTTAACGAAACACTTTGTTATCATATTTTTAAAGGTAAAATATATACGTGAAATGCATACACATTTAAATATTAAATCCAAATTGAACTGCTGTTATCTGCAATGTATTTATTTATTTGTTATCAAAAAGTGATACACGAGGTTTTAGCAGATTCAACAGGGATGTTTTGATTTTTTTCCTGTAACCCTGTCTAGTCGCGTGCGCCCGCGTGCTTCCATTCCAAAACATTCCTCACTCGCGCGCAAATGGGTGTGTTTGTCAGGAAGTGTGAGATAACTTCTGTTGTTGTGTCGAAGTCCAGGCCTATTGGATATCATCTATAATAATTGTTTTAAATGTATTAATACAAACTGAAAAAGACACATGAAAAATATTTTTGCAAACTATTTTGAATAATTATGGGATATAATAATTTGTGATCTCCTATAATAGGATACAACTCAATTATATCAGCATTCTTCTAAAATGATTAGCAATCTTTATCTTGTGTAAAATATCATGCATGCTGCGCCATTACCAACTGGACGATGCTGTAATTAAAAGTAGGCCTATGTAAATAAATATTTTTGCTTTAAATGCTTACAAACGTATATGTTGTAGATGACCTAAAAAAATCACAATATTATAAATATAATACAATTAAGTTCTAGAATTAACATTATTGCATTTCAGAATTGAATTTAGAATCTTTCGAACAGCGTATTATGGGACAGGCTTTATGATCTCTCTCGCCAAAAATATCGGGCTCATTTTAGATAATAATATTTTGAAACATATTAAAAGGGCAGCTCTGTTGACATAAATGGCTTCGCAATTTGTAAAACTTTAAAAAATGATTTAAATCATTTTTCAGTCGTCATTTACAAATTGGTCACTTGTTTTCAACGCCTGGCAAGTATTATTTTTTCTTAATTCTGCTAAAAGGCGTTCATAATTGCTCTTGAACGAAAATATTACACCCAGTGCCAGAAAGAATTATCTCGGGCCTAAGCAGCATGTTCTGGGTTCGATATTTAGAAATTATTAAGATTGCATTTCAGCAGAATATATTTGCCAGCGTTTTAGTACAATTAATACTGTCCTTTAACATGCAATTTTTAAGCAAAACACCAACAAAATACTGTGTTGCTATATCAGAAAACACAAGAAAGTAAAATATGATCTAAGCGATACTAAAATTGAATATTTAAATATATTGTGCCATCACTAAACTCATAATTGTGCATCACTGTAAGATATGCAACTTTCGTGATATTCCCAAGGTAATAATATCTTGAGTATGCTTAATTAGACATTGAATATTTAAATATATTGTGCCATCTCTAAACTCATAATTGTGCAGCACTTTAAGATATGCAACTTTTGTGATAATATCTTGACTAAGTATATGCTAATTAGACATTATGCAGTTTTGATGATTTTCTTTTGTCGTATATTATGAAGAAAGTCAGCACCAGAGACACCCTGTGCGTCCTTAACGCTTGGATCCATCATCAGTGTGTGTTTGACATGCACGTTGTCTCTCTGCAGGTGAACAACCTCATATGGCACGTGCGCTGTCTGGAGTGTTCTGTCTGCAGGACGTCGCTACGTCAGCACAGCAGCTGCTACATCAAAAACAAAGAGATCTTCTGTAAAATGGATTATTTCAGGTAGGGTAAGTTTATGACCGTGTTTTCAAAATACCACGTCTACTCTACTCTGCCAACATACCCCCCCCCCTCCTCTCTTTCTCTCTCACACACACTCACACTCTTCCTTTGAGATGGATGCGGGTTGCCTCATGTGTTCTTGAAAGACCTTTACAAAAACGTCTCAAAGTGTGTAACAAAATAAAAGTGTAGCTGAAAGATCCACAGTTTTGTTTTGGCTATCATTAACAAAACGTTTCCAGCAGCGACAGAAAATAAAACATATCTGGCCTACTAGAATAAGTGTGGAAATGTCTGCGCGTAGGGAGTTGTGTGCGTTTTTTAGAGGTTTTTTAGATTTTTGGTGAGGTTGTTTTTTTGGACCACGTTTTATCAACTTCTATGCCTTTATGGGTCAGGTCAGATTTTAATATTGCACATTATTTATTGTCAGATATCTTTATCGGACCATTCCAAATCAGTCTTGCCATTAACCCGTTAACTTCCACCACATTTTGTAATTTTTCTGGCGCTCAATAAATTCAAGTATCCAGCAGCACGCGCGCAGGAGTTACCGGAGTCTTTAACCTATATCAACACAACGTTAACGGCTGTAGGGGTACAGGAAAATAGCGTAAATCGCTGGAAAGGCACTTGGGTTTTGCAGCTATCTGAGTTGAGTATGTCCCTATTGACACACAAACCGTTATGCAACGAAAATATACAACAGAGGAGGCCTTTTTTATTCTACTGTACATTCATGACCAATTATCATGTATTATGATAATATACTATATCATATCGTTGTAATAGGCTACATTTAAGAGAACCGAACAGCAAATAAAACTAAACCTCATTAATAAAATACATTCTGTTTTTAAGCTATAAATACTTATTTTACACATTTTTCACATGTTTATTACTCATATCATAAACGATTAATTTCACTATTTAAAAAATAAATACATTGCCATGCAATATTGAAAGGCATTATAACAAAACGAGACACTGAGACATGCAGATACACACTCATTGAGGGGTTAATAATGCAATGGGTTCTTCAGCCAATCAAAACATAGCCTGCTGCAGCCTATTTCTGTTAGGAAAAATCTTTATTTACTGATGTTTTTAATCATAGATTTTTTATTCACTTTTTATCCAAGTGTGTGGATTTTATTTGTGCCTGTGTGAGGCTGTCAGTGGCGGTATCTGAGGTCAAATGTGGTTCAGACCAGCAACAGCCATAGTGAAATTCAGTTCTATAGCCTGAAGCTGGTGGATATGTTGTATGGGCACATATGCATTGTTCGTGTGTGTATGTATGTGTTCGTGTGTGTGCGCACATGTGTGCCTGCTTGGAGTGAGCTTTGGTGTATGTCTGATCGGAACATGACACCAAGCCACCGCTCTGAGGTTTATAATCACCAGCAATTAGTTGTCCTCCATCCCAGACCCTCAGGCCTCCAGATCAGCAATTAGACCGCCCCGAGTGCCTGGTCAGCATGTTTCTGTTCTGAATGTGACTCCTCTCCAAACTAAAAACACACACACTCTAAAACAGATATGTGTACAAACCTTCAAATTAAAACATGAAGGTGGAACATTTATGTGATAGCAAGAATGCACTGTACACATTGGCTGCTTTGATAACGCCAAAGACACACTTTACACACAGTAAACATACATTGAGATCTCTGTTTATTTATGCATGTCCAGCAGCTGCCACTCATTTTGCTAATTCCTTCATGAAATGGAGATTTTTATGTTTGCTCGGCCACATCATAATATTTTACCTGACCCGTCTCCATTTAAATGCTCCTGCACCCTTCTCGCCCTAAACCCTGCGTTGTGGACTCTGAGCCAGTATTTAAAATATGTCAGAGCATTAGAAAACGGTAATGAGTGGTGTAGATGTGGCTGTCACCGGGTTACATGTTGGCTACTCATCAGATAAATCGTACCCTGTAATTATATGATATACAATCATTGTGATTCAAACATGTGCCTAAATATAGAAGCAGTAAATGTTTCTACACTCGTTTTGACAACTTTTATTATGAATTTCTAAATGATTGCATACAGGCATTCTGTTATATCATTTTTTGAAAGAATGGGTATGGACAGTTTCCTGCAACAGCTAAAATGATGGGTCTGTTTTGCTTTTTAATAAAGAAAAAAAATGCAAACCTAAACCCAAACAGCTTCACATTCAAACTCCTAGCTGCCAGTCTTAGTGTCATAACCTTTGGAATTTCAGCTTTAGCCGTTACTACTGTAGGCAACAAAGCAAAACACTTTTGATTGAAAGACCAGAATCTTTTTAAATATGATAACTTCCAGGGTTTACTTCTCTCTGTAAAGCCATTCATTTCCCCTATTTGAATAAATAATAAAGACTGTACTTCTTTATGCATACTGTAGACATTTCGTACATAATAAACTCAGAATCCCCTACACAAGGCGTAAAACTAGATTTGTTTGTTGTATTTGTTAGTTTTAATACGGTCCATAGCTTGGTCATATGACAGAATCACACACATTTTCATTCATATCTATGGAATAACTGCACACTATCTGCTCTGTAGAGTGACTCTTAAAATGAGAATAAGAAGTAATGCAATAATATTTAATTTGATGGTCAAGATATCCTTAGGATCAAACTGTTTTCGTATCAATATTGTGAGGAACTTTGTAGAAACCCTGCACAAAAAAGTTACCTCTGAAAATATAAACTTTAATCTGGATTTAGGCCAGATTTAAACTAGGCTAAACACGACCGCGGGCCCAGATCCTCTGGGCTGGGTTCAAACCTCTGGAGATATTCCCTCATCTGTGTCAGCCTCTCATCTGGCTTTGGACTGACAGCTCCTTTAATGGGGCGTAATAGCAGGAAATCAGAGTGGGTTTCCCTCCATATACGTGTGTGTGTGCGTGAGGAGGGGGTAGGTAGGTGGTGTGTATATGTCGGGTTAGGGGGTGCAGGACAGAGCCCACGTTGCGCCTCTCAAAGCCATGTCAGGCCTCAGGGGCTCCCTCACGCACACACACAACTACACACACGCACACCATTTCTTTATCAGCCTACTTTGACCCCCCTCGCCTCCCTTAGCTGCCCCCCTCCCCTCCCTGAGCTCTGTAGTAACATCATCCTGGTCCGTGAGCTGCAGGCCACACAGGAAGTTGCATTGGCGCACTAATCAGGGGCACCCTGGGATACTGACAGTGTAACCAGAGTCCATGTATGTAGGGAACTTTCTGGGTGAGATGTGTGCACTTGTACATGTGACTCTTCATGTGTGTGTGTGTGTGTGTGTGTGTGTGTGTGTGTGTGTGTGTGTGTGTGTGTGTGTGTGTGTGTGTGTGTGTGTGTGTGTGTGTGTGTGTGTGTGTGTGTGTGTGTGTGTGTGTGTGTGTGTGTGTGTGTGTGTGTGTGTGTGTGTGTGTGTGTGTGTGTGTGTGTGTATTGTAATTATTATTATTCATCATCCCACCTTTAGTTAGCTGATTACGTCTCCATAGCAACAAAGGCGAGTAACCAGTACAAAGCGAGGGATATGAGTTTTTCTAAGAACTGAATTAATTTAAATTATAATTAAACATCTGCCACACAATGCTACACGTTTAAATAAAGACTGCTCGTTTACAGCTAGGAACTAAATTCTTCTTTTGTGAAATAGATTACAAAGAAAACTGAGTGTTCACAGTTACTGCAGTGTCGAAGAATAGAGAATTGAACAATGTCAAGGTTTCTCTTGTGCAGGGTTAATATGTTAAAGCCGGATATCATGTCAAATTGTATTGTCAGTGAATCATTTAAATCACTTCCCAATCTTAGATTTCCATGCAAAGGCCTAACACGAAACCTCGCATCGTGAAACTCTCTCAGGACAAATCTAATAGAGATTAGAGTATTCTCATAGCACATCAGAAATAATCCAAAAAACGTGTACCTCCTCAAGCCACTCTTTCAGCAGCAGGTGAATTACTGTTAAGGAAAAGTAAAGATTAGACCAAAGAAGGGCAGCAACTAGGAGACGTCTGAGGGGATAGGCAGTTTTGCGGTGCAGGATTTTCCCTCTTGTGATACTGGGGGGCCATGGGGATTGACATCATTCCAAAATAAACACCAGGTTTTTGGTGCAAATACAAAACGTGATACAAAAAAAGAGATGGAGGAGATGAAGATGGAGAGGGAGGGGGTTAAAACAAGGGATGATTTGCAGCTTTTCTGGGTTCTGTCTCGGAGCATGAAACTGACAAGCTGTCATGCTAGATTAGACGCAATGTTCCACAATGTTTTCCTCTTTTACTGTAGAAACGGCCAGGAATTCTCCATAACAATCTGAAATAGTACGCACACACAGCGCAGTAAGCTATGGAGACCATTTGTCTCCGGAATGGCTTTATTGGGTTATAAGAGGGTTTTTTGGTTAAGTTGCACATATCTGTGACAATTTAAGCTCCCTGTAAGTGGTGAGCGAGCTAATTTTATTTCAAGGTCACTGCAAAGACTTACTGCTTTTTAATGCTGAAATGAATTTGTTTGTTATGAGGAATGCCAGGCCTGGTACTGCAGATGCTCTTTTTGGATTTGGACATTAATGCATGACTTAACAGTGATACAAAACCAGGAAGGCAGACAAACAGAAGCAGGATGAAACAGATAAGAGGCAGATCCTCAAACAGTAGGCGTTTAATGATGACCTTTACATATTCGCTACCATACTACATGCAGAGAAAATGAAACTTCTGGCCAACAAGCTCATATACATGATGAGGGGCACGAGTTTTTGAGATGTCAGGTTTATAGTATGCTTTCATCCCAGATAGAGTGGACTTGAGTGCACTGATACGCTGCCAAACCCACTCACTTGGCAACCCTCCTGCTCTCTGTCCCCCTGCTCTCTCTCCACCATTGACGCTCTTTACTTTGCTATTTCCCTCAGCCACTTACTTCCTCTCTCCATGTCTATTCTTTTCATCCTGCCCTCACCAGCTCCTTCATACCTATCCACGATTGACAGCTCTTTGAATTTGCCTCATGTTGGGCTTGTATGAGTTTCCTCTTTATCCCGGCTCTTTGTATTTTGCTGTAAAGAGGCAGCGCAAAGAAGAAATAGCTAAGTGTATAAGTTAAAATGTCGAGTCGGGCATCAGCTCTTTATATATGTGTCAATGCCTCTTTTACAGAACAATCCCATCAATATGGAAATGTTTCTCATTTGAGCTAGAGCCAGTTGGCCGCTATGCTTTTTGCTCCCAGTTTTACCCTTGGGGCAGCACTTTCTGTCAGGCTGCTTAAAGAATCCTGCCTCCTTCACCAGAATTGGCAGCTGCTGACCCTAACAATGCCTCTTAACCTCACTATAACCATCTCAAAGTACAGCGTTTTATACCCATTAGACCCACAATGTGCTCGTTAAATGAGCAGCTTAATGTATTTTCATTCTGGTGTAAAACAGGAAAATCTGTATAGTATTTCATTTGTGTTAGAGTGAATGTTTTTTTGGATAACCCCACAGTGCCAGCTGCTCAGTCAGCCATATTCCAGTTAAAGGAGACGGCTGGTTATGTGCTATACATTTTTGTAGTATCATCAAATCCCATTAAACGTCAAAACCAAAGTCTATGTCTATAACCATAGTCTATGTCTGATGAAATATCTGATTCTTCTCTGTCACAGACTTCCATTGTTGTACTAAAACTATAACAGAAACACATTAATGAGCCACACTTTTTCACTAAGTGTCATGAAATGGTGAACATGGGCACTGTTGTGTATTTTTTGTCTGTCTAATATACACCGTCCTGCTTCTGTAAATATTCACACATGTGTGTAAATCTGCCACTAAAAACAGTCCCCGTCAATACATTCTTAATTATTTTTGTGATATGTTTGCAAGAAATGGACTTGATGAAATGAGATTGGGACAACCGAGAGGGCAGGATAGTCAAAAAATATTGTGAGATGGACTAATGCACACTTCTCTCTCTGAAATATTGTGAATATTATGGTACTTAAATAAAAAAAAGTATTTACTTTTCACTCTGTGCTTAGGCTCTTTCACTGTTTGGCTCATTCAGTCCTCAATTGGATTTATATATATTGATATTTTTCAATGAAAGAGCGTAGTTATTTCAGACATCTTGTTTTGAGGTCATCAGGAATTGTCTTAAAGAGTTTGCTGACTTAACAAATGTACGTCCGCTAACCCGTTCCCTGCCCAGCCTCTCTCTTTCCATAATTTTCTGTCCATTTATCTTTCATCCACCCACCCATTCAGAACAGTAAGTCAGGTGGTTTAGGTTTATATGCCGCCTGACCTCACTGTTGCTATCAGTTACAGCGGGGCGATCTAGAGTGATGTCATCCAAGTCTTTCTTCATCTTCCGCTGTGTGTAAAACCACCCTGGTTTGTTCCCTTGTGTGTGTGTGTTTGTGTGTGCGCTTGGGTACATGTCAGGGTCTTCATGCATCAGCCAGGAAATTGCAGGTGTTGGTTTGTTTGCATTCAAGGCTCAGCTTGCAGCCGCAGTCAGGGTTTCTTTTTCAGAAGGCCACATCCTTCTCCAAGGTTTCTTCCTTAAACCCTTCGAGTTCTGCCAAAACTCCAAGTTTCAAAACACACATTTCCTACTCTCTCAACATGTTCTCAAAGAAAAGGACGTCTGTGCATGTTTAATTTAGTTTGTTTAACAATGTGTGTGCTATATGGTATTGGCTTTGAGAATTAGGTTTAAAACATATTTTACCACTTTCTGTACTGAAATGTTGCTTTTACCCCGTCAATGAAGCACTAATTCCTCATTCTGTCTCTCCTCCTCTACCTCGGCTCTCTTTTTCTGTCCCTCACAGTAGGTTTGGTACTAAGTGTGCCCGCTGTGGGAGGCAGATATTCGCCAGCGACTGGGTGCGCCGTGCAAGAGGGAACGCATACCACTTGGCATGTTTTGCGTGCTTCTCGTGTAAGAGGCAGTTGTCTACGGGAGAGGAGTTTGGCTTGGTGGAAGATAAGGTCCTGTGTAGGAGCCACTACGACACCATGGTGGAGAACCTCAAACGAGCGGCTGAGAGTGGTGAGTCAAATGCTTCTCTGTGGCTGCCCAGATTTTTGCTCCAGAGTCCCAAAACTGAGGTCTGCTGAATTTATGAGCAAAATAATGACTGTATAATTCACCTTTGTACAATTTATTATTTCTTAAATCATTGATGATTTAATGTGTCTGGCCTGCTTCTTACTCATTACTCAGTGGTCGTGTTACAAGAGCTCAAAAACCTCAATTTTGGCTCCCAACTGAGGAAAAAGTCTAAATATGATTTTGTGTCCAAGTCCTCTTGTTCAAATGGGCCTCCTGGGACAATCATGGTCATTTTAAAATGTTATTCAACACTTTTGACTGTCATGTCATATTTCTGTTATTGTGTTTTTCAGGCAATGGTATCACATTAGAAGGAGCAGTTCCAACAGAACATGACAGTCAGCCCAAACCGGCCAAAAGGGCACGGACATCGTTCACTGCAGAACAGCTACAGGTCAGACACACACTTATTTTGTGAATATGCTGCACTCTCGGCTTTATTTTACCAAAAATACAATGTGTAATGATTGGATTTCAGCAGCCTTTTCTTAATTTCATGTTACATTTTTGCCTCAATATGCAGATAATGCAGGCTCAGTTTGCCCAGGACAACAATCCAGACGCCCAGACGCTACAGAAACTAGCCGACATGACAGGCCTCAGCAGGAGAGTGATACAGGTCAGTACACAGAAATACACTTTCTCTAGTATTAATGAATCTATGTATGCTCTGAAATAGCATACTTTTGAAACATTCAAACACATATACTTAATTTACAGAAAAACATAGTAAAAGGTCAAATTATGTTTAATTATGTTCAGGTATGCATATTCATACTGATTTAGGTATTTTCAATGTTTTGTCTGCTTTTGAAATAAATCAACATGTTTGATATTAAGAATATAGCATCATGATGTCTGGTTACATTGCGTCTTCATAGGTGTGGTTTCAAAACTGCAGAGCAAGACACAAAAAGCACACGCCCCAACACAGTGGGGTTCCCCAAGGTCACCTCCAGTCCAGGATACCCTCGTCCATGCCCGATGAGCTGCATTACTCCCCCTTCGGCAGTCCTGAGCGGGCGCGCATGGTGGCCCTTCACGGGTATATCGACAGTGAGTCACAATTTACTTCAATGTATAATAATAATTATGCAAATACACGTTTTAGACTTTTTATATTTTCACCTAAATCCTTATTTCTTTTGTGTGCTCTTCAGGTCATCCCTTCTCAATGCTGACTTCTCAAGGTCTCTCTCATCAGGCCATGTCGCTGCCCCAGCTCCCCCTCAGCCGCTAGTGCTCCACCACTATGACCCTTTTGACCCCTAAACCTCCGGATCTGAACCCTTGATCTCCCATCACTGACGTCTGTAGACCTGACCGGGGGGTCATGCAGTCATCAGTTTGGAGAAAAGACTTATCTTACAGGAGCCCTGCCCACTCGGACATAATGGAAAGAAAAGGAAGAACGAGGAAAAACTCAAGATACGTCCATCATTATGGGTTTTTATTTCTGAGGACAGGAATATCCCACCTGCAGCCACTCACAGCCTCAGAAGCATTTATCATTAGCAGGAACTCAGTGACGGTATTTTACACCACCTTAAGGACCCATTTTGCTTCAAATGTACAGCATCCTCCACTCTACCCACCCATCCTTTTTTTAAAAGGGATGAAGCTGAAAGAGGAGTGAAGCTTTTTGAGCGCTGTCAGAGTACTGAAGATAAACAAAGAGAGGGAACTTGAGGGGAACTGTCTTTGTGGCCTAAAGGCCCGACACACTCAGTAGACCACACTAGAGGTAAGACTGCTATTTTCTCTCTAAGCAAACATGAAGGAAACCTAAATGTAAAGAAATAAATATGACTGTTGAAATATTTTCTTTAGGAAGGGACCTTATGACATCTCAAAAATATTCCCTATGTTACATTTTTGGTCGATTTTCCAATGAAATTAGGTTAATTTTTGACATTGTGTGCCTTATCTTTTCCATAATTTAAAGAAATTCTGCAGCATTGAACCAGCTAATTAAATCTAAGCCTGTAATTCATCTCTACGTTTTAATTACGTAGAAAAAATTAAGAAGATTTAAAATCTTCTACTGGTGGAAAATGTGCATCTTGAATGTGTCAATTTGGAAGTAAACCACAAAGCACACTTTCTGGGCTTGTGTGTTTTTAAATTATGGCTGTGACATTAGAAGCTAACAGAATTTGGGCCACAATAATCCTGCTACATTTCTTTAAACTGAAAGGGAAACAAATGGAAGACTGAGATGAGCTACACATTGCTACAAATTCTGTTACAAGTTACATATTTTCATATTTCCAAACATGTGTATTGTCACTAATTTATATGTTCTCTGTCTGTGTGTCTTTGGCACAAAGAGGGAAGTGTTGGTGTTTTGGTACAATATGGAAAATATGAAGCAGACTGGGGTTGTACATACGTGTGTGTGTATGTGCGTGTGTATGTGCGTGTGTATGTGTGTGTGTGTGTGTGTGTGTGTGTGTGTGTGTGTGTGTGTGTGTGTGTGTGTGTGTGTGTGTGTGTGTGTGTGTGTGTGTGTGTGTGTGTGTGTTGGCAGGGGTAAAGAGTGTGCATCTGTATTTAGTGCCATGGCCATTGTGTGAAGAACAGGATCCAACAAGACCTCAATGTCCTTGTATTTATTGAGATGGTAAATCCCTGTAAAGCACTTTTCCCTCTGAAATTATTTGGTTTTTGTTAAAAAACAAGAAATGAAATCAAACAAAAAGTTTATTTGATAGACTGTGCATCATTAATGTTTTGTGTACTTAAATGCAATAAAATAGAATGTGATATTTTCTTTGTGGATTTGGATCATTTGTAAGGGTAAATTAACCAGGCAATAATTCACTTTTATTTTCCAAAACAACACGTGTGGCACAAAGCAAAGGACATGTGGAACAACACTTTTTCTATGTTCTTTATGCAGGATGTTTATCCATTGGGGTGTGTATTTGCTTGAATTGTGTGGATAGTTGTTTACATCCCAGTGTGTGTGTGTGGTATTTGTAAATGTGTATCTTCAACGAAGCAAGAATGGTGCATTGTGGGAAATATTCTCTTTGTGCAAAGCACTGCTGCCCTTAGAAGACTTGATGTTTAATTATTTTTTATTTATTGAGGCTTTTTCAACTTTCCTTGTGAAGTTGTGTGGAGGATTTATGGCCGTCATAGCCCAACATATCTGCTAAAGCTAATGTCCCCTGTCAATGTTATCTGCACATTAGCAAAACACAGGAATATGTTGATTTGGTTCAATTGGTCTGATAATCTATCCTTTTATTTTTAAAATCACACACAAAATCGAATTAAACATAAGAAAATAGAAATAACAAAAAAACGCTTTATTTGCCAGAGTTATATTACAAGACACAAAAAACATCTGATGTTCTAAAAATGGACTACAAAAGTCTCCGGTCTCTTCAGAAAGCGACAGAGTTTTCAGGATCAACACCGGCAGCCTCATCCCAAGCTTTCCGACAAGTCCGCAGAATCCACTCATGCTCGGAGTCATCTGTTGGAAAGATTTAATTTCAAATGGAGGATTATGTTAAAACTATTGGAAACAAGGCCTGGAGTCATACCAGCTTAATTGTTTTTTTTAAACGTTTGACCTACGATTACATAAGAAACAAACGCAGATTGAGGTGTAAAGGTAAAGCGTTTAAATCAAAACTATGAAGCAGTTGCCTGCATAATTAAACCACAGGTCTGCGACAGTGAAGTGCCATTCAAGTCTCGGGTAAACCAAGATAAGCCTGACAATTAGGAGCAAATAACTTCTCAGAGCCACTTCAGACACCGATAAATAATAACCTCCAAAAATGGACGACGATTTTTCTTTTTTTAAACCGAAACGACTGCCAGAGGAGCTGATAATAAAGCAGTTTTGCATTGTCAAAACTGAAATGAGAAGCTAATTGCGGGGGAAGTGAGCTTTTCTCTGGAGCGCATGCAGCTGCACGCACTTGAGCAGCGCGCGGGCCTCACCCCCAGGTTCCACTGCGCGCGAGGCTCCATTGTACAGGGGAGCAGGTCTGCAGCTCGCGGACTGATTGTGCGTAATTGCCAGGCGTCAACACCAGCAGCCACTTCAAGTATAAAACGCTCCTCTTTCTCTCTTTCTCCTCTCTACCTGTTCTGATCGCGAGGTCAATTGAACGTATCGGACACGCGGACAGCTGCCACGCAAACAGTCTTTGTGACGCATTCGTGGCGGAGAAGGTAATTATTGAACACGTCGTTACGTTTAGACTGACCTCAATTAGACCCAAACCACAACCTGCCTTAATGATAATTTCATTGGGACATTTTCATATTTGCTGTAATTCTGCCCTCTTGAGATTGTATAGCAGCGTTTATCTCAGGATTTAAGTCAAATGTAATTGGTACCTTGGGTTATATGAGGGCACAGGTGGCTGGTAATTTCCTGCAATCTGAGGACAGCCGGACATTTTTGTGATTTACCAGTCTTTGTAAGTCAATACATCAATTTATAAACCTTTTTAATGACCCCTTTCACCATTTCTGGTGTTGGGATATCCAGTTAAAATGATAAAACAGAAATAAAGACACCTTATGTTCTCTGGTGTAGCCTAATAATCACATTTGTGGTGCAAACTTCAGGGAAACATTTTAGTCTTTAGGGAATGAAGCTCACTAAACACACTTGTTTATTGAACAGTTTTTTGTATATCCATCTTGACTGTATCCACCTGCACAGACAACCTTTTTGCGATGTACACAGGAGAGAGTGTGCGGAAGCGATAATGGCACCTTGTTAAAAGTCTGTTTATCTTAATCCTTAAAATACACTCAGAGGGGAAAGTGTTTCCTTCCAGCCTAATGGCTCCGAATTAACACGCAGACACACAACCAAACACATGCAGAGACAGACACACTGGCATAATGAGCAAAAGCAAAAAACTGCTTTCTGCTTGTAGATAGTTAATTTCATTAAAGATGATTGTGCTGCAGAAACGGATGGGGTATAACACTGATGTTGAACTCTGAACCTGGTCCACTCACAATGACCTATAGGGTCATATGTGCACATTTTGTGGTTTCCAATTGGAGGCACCACAGTAAAATCAAACTTACCTAAATGTGAAAGCTCAAATAAACATTCAAATGCGCACATTTAAGGCATCTGTCTCCAATTCACTGCAAGCCGAGCGGCCTTTGCTTTTTTTGGTTATGATGACATCACAGAAAACGGTGCGGTTTTCATGTTTCCAGCTTTGAAGGAGAGATACCAATCTTTAACATTATTAATCCATCCGTCACAGTTCGGAGGATTAACATGTGAATCCTATTTTATGGTGAATTTTTGTCCCTAAGATGTATGAAAAATGAGAGTTTCAGGAAAGGCAGCGTGAGGATATGTTCCACTCCCAAGGGCCCCAGCTGATCTTATCTGTCTGTGAAACACCTCGGCTGGACGGGGACAAAGGGAGGGGCCGCGGCTCGGTCACCAGAGGTGTTTTCCTTGGCAGTGGAATGTTTTCAGTGTGGAACTCTTTCAGCGCGGAGTCTCAAAGGGAAGCGGTTATCCCAGAAACAGGAAAGTGCTACAAACAATATGGCAACACATGGCCCCTGCTGGAGCTGCTGCCGCCTCCTGCGCCCGGCCGACTGTTGCTGCCTGTTGCCATGAGAGCACACACACAACTGACGGTGTGTGTGTTTGTTTGGAATAATACGCTCAATCAGTCAGCGGTGGAGATTTGATTGTGCAGATGTGGCCTATGTATCCTTTCTCGTTCTTTTTTAATTACAGTTTCATTGAGTAATGCAATGTTCTACCTTGTAACAATATTCATACAATTATTTTGTCCTTTTTGTGAGGACAGATAAAAGTAGCCCTGTAGACTTGTTTGTTGATTACATGATTTGTTTTTTTTAGCAGCAAAAAGGTTTGGCTTTCTTTGAAGCTAATGTACTTCCATAATTCTTCCTATTCAGTGTTTGTCTCTTCATGGTTGAACAAATAGAATTTGCTTTGGATAAACATATCGGTTGAATGTTTGTTAAAGGTTTAACAGTATTCATTTTACTGTGTTTACCCTGTTGGCATTATTTAAGCTGAAATCTTAACTATGACACACTGATGTGTGGAGTCATATTAAAAAATCTGAAATAAATAAAATTATGATTCTAATCAATCAATCAATTTCATTAGTTGCTTAACAAGGAGTGTTTTGTGTTTTTAAATGTAGGGATTAGCTGCCACCTCATCCACTATGCCAGTCCATTGACATGTTTTCTTGTGTAAGACTGAGTAACTAATTGGTGATTTGTCAAAGTAGATATTGGACGCCCTTAAAGTTTGGAAATAACATCGGCCAGAAACAAAGAATGTCACCCCTAAATGTTCATTTTTCACCACAATCACTCAACACACACACAAACGTACACATTGCTGCACAGTCACACACACTCAGACCTTCCTTCCTTTCCGTCTCCTGTGTATTGCAGGAGTTGACTTTGTATCCAAATGACACGTGTGACTCCTTTCTGTTACTTAAAATCTACGAGGAACAGGAGTCTGTTAAAAATGTTTTTCATTAAGTTAAGATGAAATCATGGGGGCGATATCATCATGTGCATCCCATCACACCATTTCCCCCATCATCCTACATTTTTACGAGGCGTACCAGTATTCTCGATACAAACCCTTCCTACATTGTTGGCATAGCAGCCCCTTGATGACATCTCCCAAAATAATCCATAACCTCTTGGGGAATATTAGCAAAAGATCCTATTGTTTTGCTCTCTGGCACTATGCCAAGAAGGACTGTTTGTCCAAGTTAGCAACAGTAACTAAGCAGGCCAGGACTTTGTGATAAATCAGTTTTGACCAATGAGTTTGGTTGAGCCTGATATCTCCTTGCAAGGACTTTAAGATCAGGGGGGTAAACTTGATTCATCTGCAGTTTCAACCCGTTCCATATGCAACATTTTTGCAACTCTAGATATGATCTTCGTCTTCACGGGCTAATTTCTTCCTTGTCCTACATCCACCAGCTGCTACACAGGGAGCTCCTTCCTCTTTCCTTGCTGCAGCAAACGTCCCCTTTGGGAGGGTGGGTCTTCCCTGTGTCCCATCATCCTGGGCGGAAGCCATGAGGCAATAAATTCTGTCTTCACACCCACTGTGACAAATGTGCTTTCACCTCAAGGGTTGAAAAATGAATCCGTACAGGACACAGGAGCATTCTTTTCAAGTCTTGTTTACAAAGCAAAGGGATAGCGGACATGTATTGCATAAGCCACATTCTCAGTATATAATATACATCACTCTATAGTATTGCACATGAACAGACACACTTCTATTAAAGTTCCCATCAGTGTAAGTGCTATATGAATGCTTAAAAACAGGGTGTCCAAACTTTTTTCACGAGGGCCACATACAGAGAAATATACGAAGGGCTGGGCCGCTCACCAGAGGTATATTGCCTCATAAGTTATAAGTTAGAAAAA